GTTGCTGGCGATGGTCTCGCTGTCGCTCCGGTCCAGCACCAGTTTATAGCGGTCTTCCTCGGGCTGGAAGAGGGAGACGCCGTCAGCAGCGCCGGACTCTGCGCTAGCCTGTGGGTTATGGCTTAGAAATAGGGCAAAATAGGGTAAAAAAGGGAGCAATCCACCGTACCGTTAGCTCTCCGCTCTCGGCCGAGGGGCTCTTTCGGGCAGGTTTGGGCTGTGGCAGGGCTGGAACTGCTGTGAGAAGAGACAACATTGAAGGGTTATCAACTCTAAAACAATTAATGTTCTCCTGACTGCACTCCCCGGGCTCACAGAGATTCCCGAAGGATCCGTACCGCGCTGTTATTATTCACATTTTCTAGATAAACTTCCTGTACGTGGGAGATTTTACAAGCAAGTGGATTCCAAACGTGATCTGCCAAACTCTGGAGCAGCCAGGCACCGGCAGCACCGTCCAGACGCTCTTACCTGCGGGCAGGTGGGTTTTTTCAATGACAGGCTCTGGAATTTTCCAGCAGCCGGTTTCCTCATCCCAGACGGATTGGCGTTTGATTTTCTCCAGATTGCTGTAGTTACAGTCACGCCGGACGAGGGACTGCACCTGATCCAGCAGCTGCTGGAAGAGCATCAGGTCTCTCTCCAGGCGCCGGATGGTGCTGAGGTAATCGATCTTTTCCAGCTCAAACTCTGACTGTAGATCTTTGATCTCGGTCTCAGCAGCCTGCAGCTGGGACATAAAAAAATAAATCCAAATTATTGGGGTTATAAAGGAGAGAATTATAGACTCATAGAATGGTTTGGATTGGAAGGGACCTTAAAGCTCATCCAGTTCCAACCCCACTGCCAGCAGCAGGGACACCTTCCACTAGACCAGGTTGCTCAAAGCCTCATCCAACCTGGCCTTCAACACTTCCAGGGAGGAGCAGCCACAGCTTCTCTGGCCAACCTGGGACACTGTCTCACCACCCTCACACCAAAGAATTTCTACCTCATGTCTCATCTCCATCTCCCCTCTTTCAGCTTAAACCCATTTCCCCTTGTTTTGTCATTAACTGCCCTTATGAAAAGTCCCTCCCCACCTTCCTGGAGCCCCTTCAGGTACTGGGAGGCCACTATAAGATCTCCCTGGAGCCTTCTCTTCTCCAGGCTGAACAGCCCCAACTCTCTCAGCCTGTCCTCACAGCAGAGCTGCTCCAGCCCTCGCATCATCCTGGTGGCCTCCTCTGGACTTGTTCTAACTGGTCCATGTCTTTCTTATGATTACTGTGAGTACAGGAATTTGTTGGGCAGATGGAAAGACAAACAAAAAAGCTTTAATATTTGGGAAGATTTCTAATTTAAAGTAAAGAATTAGGATGAGATTTGTGCGGAGAGATTATTCCACCTCTGTTTTAATGAAAGATTTCTCATGTTTCTCCAAAGTGCCGAGTCTTTGAATGGACCTTAAATTAATCTTACTAGTTTGGGCTGCATCCAGCGCTAATGAACTCTCAGCAGTTCCTAAATTCGATGAAAAAGGTGCAATATTTCTTTGATAACCTAAATACAGAAATAAAGCAAGTTCCTAATGTGCAGATTTAAGACTGCATGCAAACACATAGGGTTTTTTTAAGCTCTTCTGATCCTGCCTTATCAGAATAAAATTGATTTTCAAATGTGTTTAAAATCTAAGAGCATTGCTTTTATATATATTTTCTTTTTCCCTTCAGAAAACTATTCACGGTGTAATTTCCTCCAGGAGCCCAGGTGTGATCTCTGGGATGATCACAACCAGAGAGGAAGCTGTGCGATAGATCGCGGAGGTCAGTAGAGGGAGTTGCATCTTCTCCCATCACCAGACATCATCCTCCAGGGCCTTTAGCACAGGTGGAGTTTGGGGTTTCAACAATTTAATTCACCACCCTGAGGGCTGCTGCTTTTGATATTTCATAAAAATACACACAAAAAACCTTCTAAGTACTAATGCAGGCACGTGTGTGAAATATTTCACACAGCCAGAGTTATGCTGTGTGAAACATTGCCCTAAAACACCTCCTTAACCTAAAAAAAATAAGGGGTAGGCAGAGGAGGAAAGAGATGCTCCCTAAATCTTCAGTTGGGATAGCAGGGAGCTGCTCACCTTCTTCTGCATCTTCTCCAGAAGCTTGCTCTTGGCTCGAACCTCCTCCTGGATGGAGTCGTAGACGTTAAGCAGAACCCACTCGCTGCTGTCCTCGTTCGATTGCTGCAGCGCGGCCACCAGCTGCATCCTCCGCTCGTCCGCGTATTTTTTCCGGCGTTGACGCTTTTCTTTGAGGTCTTTGTTTGCAGCCTGTTCCCCTCCGACCACCTGCTGCTCCAGCATCTGCAGCCTGGAGAAGGCAAACGCTTCTCTCAGCTCAGCAGTGCAAAGAACCATCTGCATTAAGCGTGGAGGACGCACGTCCTCACCTGAACGATGTTTGGAAACACACAGTACAGAATATAGTGATTTTTTGGATGAGATTTGCTGCCCTGAGTAATCATGGCAAATTCCACTTTTATTAACAGTTTCTGTTACAAGATTTTCCTGCTG